CCACCAAACAAATCCCGACTTGCATTTTCCATTAAAACCAGAGGATTCGGGGGCGGATTCCTCCGGGCGCAGCCGGGGTTCGACTCCGCTGCTGGTTTGGGGAAGGATTCTCATTTTGGGATCGTCATTCCGTGATCCCGCGGCGCCGACGGGAGCAGAGTGTGAGTGCATCAGGACGTGGCTCAGTCACGGCCCTAATTAGCTCCTGGTGGCTGCTGTGGCTCTCCCGTTCCTGGGTTCAATCCCTCTGGGAATATCGATCCCACGGAGAGTCGCTCTGCGGGGTAGAGCTTCGGAGCCCGGCGCTCGTGGCTTAGGAAAAAATACCAAGGATCGCTTCCAGAGCTCTGGTTTGAAGCAGATTCAGTGGCATTAAACGGGTTTTTAATTGTCTTTTAAATAAATAATACCAGATTCCTGTTTTCTCTGAGGGAATGGGGCCCTGGCACAGGTTTCCCAGAATTTGGGGCTGCCCCTTGATCCTGGAAGTGTCCAAGGCCAGGTTGGATGGGGCTTGGAAAAACCTGGGATAGCGGAAGGTGTTCCTGCCCATTGATGGAACTGGATGAGGTTTGAGGTCCCTCCCAGCCCAAACCATCCCGGGATACTGGGGAACATTTCCAAAATCCCCTAATTTTCCAAGGATTTTTACCTCCTCAGTATCTTCAAGAACTTCCAGAAAACGCATTTCCAATTCTCTGATTTAAAACAAAAATCTTTGCTGCAGGGATCGTTCCTTGGTTCCTTAAATTCAGAACTTCTCCGGGATTGCTCCGACGTGCTAAAAAGTGAGATTTTCCCCCGTTTCCTCGGTGCTGATAAGGCAGTTTTTGGTTATCTCTGATCCTTTGCTTGCTCCCCGTTGTTCCCGTTCCCAGGGGGGGATTTGTTGGGATTCACATGAAACAGCCTCGTGTTTTCCCTGGAGATAAATCCCAGCCTCGTGAGAAACAGAAATGCCAAAGGAAACTCGCAGAAAATCGTGGATGGAGCTGCTGTGCATTCCCAGCTCCAGTTCCCAAACTCGGGGGTTTTCCATCAGCATCCAGAACACAACAGAGAAGGAAAAAAATCCTCCCTCTTCCTATTTTCCCACATTTCCATGGATTGAAAGCCTGGATTTGACCCTTCAACTCATAAAGTGGTGCTGCCAGCTTGAAGAGTGAGGTCTTGCTCCGAAGCAAACCCTGGAGTGTCCACAAGTCTCCCTGTAGCCATCCCAAATCCCCTTGGCCATCCCAAATCCCTGGGTCCCATCCCAAATCCCTGTGGCCATCCCAAATCCCTGTGGCCATCCCGAATCCCTGTGCCCATCCCAAATCCCTGTGGTCCATCCCAAATCCTTGTGGTCCATCCCAAATCCCTGTGGCCATCCCGAATCCCTGTGCCCATCCCAAATCCCTGTGGCCATCGCAAATCCCTGTGCCCATCCCAAACCCCTGTGGCCCATCCCAAATCCCTGTGGCCCATCCCAAATCCCTGTGGCCCATCCCAAATCCCTGTGGCCCATCCCAAATCCCTGTGGCCCATCCCAAATCCCTGTGGCCCATCCCAAATCCCTGTGGCCCATCCCAAATCCCTGTGGCCCATCCCAAATCCCTGTGGCCCATCCCAAATTCCTGTGGCCCATCCCAAACCCCTGTGCCCATCCCGAATCCCTGTGCCCATCCCAAGTCCGTGTGGCCATCCCAAGTCCGCGTGGCCATCCCAAATTCCTGTGCCCATCCCAAACCCCTGTGGCCCATCCTAAATCCCTGTGGTCCATCCCAAATCCCTGTGGCCCATCCCAAATTCCTGTGGCCCATCCCAAACCCCTGTGCCCATCCCGAATCCCTGTGCCCATCCCAAGTCCGTGTGGACATCCCAAATTCCTGTGTCTGGCTTGAGACTGGCTGCTCATTCTGGGTGAAATCCATAGCGCTTTGGTGAACACCGCATGGTTCTTCCATAGAATTCCAGGATGCTTTGGGCGGGAAAGGTCCTGAAATCCCATCCAGTTCCATGGGCAGGGACACCTCCCACCATGCCAGCTTGCTCCAAGCCTTGTCCAACCTGGCCTGGAACATTTCCAGGGATGAGGATTCCACAGATTGTCTGGAAAAACCGTTTCCTGTCCTGTTGGCTGATCCTTTTCCCAGCACCCTTGAAGGACAGCTTTACTCACTGGAGATCCCGCAGATTTTCCAGGTGTCCACTGGGATGTCCAGGCTCCCTTTTCCACAGGCAAAGCCCCACTCCAGGTGGTTACTCCCAGAAAAACCTGGAAAACCACAGCTGGCACCTCCATGGGGTGAGGCATCAGGCAAGCTCAGCCAGCTCAGGTTATCCCTGGAATATTTGGAGGGGGAAGGAATCTGCGAGTCAGGACGTGGCCGGACTCCCATCCTGGGAGAAGATCCTGGTGGTTGCCAGGAAGGAGGTGGAGATGGAGTCCCTCGCGAGTCTCTGCCGCGGAAATTTTATGAACTATTAGCAGGTCGTTAATGATGCTGAAAACAACCTCATTTCCACTCAGTTCCATGCCCGGCGAGCCGTGGCCAAGGGATCTTGGAGGATGCTCGGATGCCGTGTCGGTATTCCAGCGCGGCAGGGCTGAGTCAGAGACGGGGATTTATGGATTTATGGATTTGGTTCTGCCGCGGTCCCGTGCTCGTGTCCGTCCCTCCGGGCCGTGTTTATCCCTGGTGCTTGAGCCGCTTCCCTCTGTCCCCTGCTCCAGGCAGGCTTCCAGAATAGATTTCATTAATTTTTGGGATGCAAATTCCAGGTTTTGGGAGGTTATCAGCAGCTTTCGTCACAATTCCAGAGCTCCAAAAGGGGATTAAATTTGCCGTTGTCAGAGGATGTGTCACTCAAAGAATGTGGGGGGGAACACTTCCAAAAAGCCTCCCCTAGCTCCTGGCCTTGGGTTTCCATCCAGGCAGGTGGGATCCCAGCCTCTGTCCTGCTGGATCTGGACCTGGATGAATCCCGCTCTGCCAAGCTCAGCCTGAGCTCTGCCGCAGTTGGATGCGGAATATTTAACGTTCAATCCCTCTCCTAAAGCTGCAGGGTGGGGAATTTGGCCAGTTCTGCCTTGGAAAGCCAAGGGTTTGGTCTTACTCTTCCAATCCTGCAGGAGAGTTCTCTTGGGATATTTCTTGGAGGGTGTTTTTCCCTGGAAAACACTGGAAGGGTTCAGCCTGGACAGGTCCCGCCACCTCTGGGGCGTGTTTGGGGTAAATCAGAGCAGAAAAGATTTGGGAAGAGATCCTGCACCATGGAGACCTTCCAGGTGCGTTGGGCATTCCAAGGTTCTTCTCCAGCCCCGGAATCGCTCTCTCCATGAGGACACAGGACCCTGCTCCAGTCCAGGCTTCCCAGAGGGCCTCATCCTCCTTCAGGCATCTCCAAACTTTCCCACTGAAGGATATTTTGTGGGAGAAGTTCCTGCCATGAGCGGGGCTGGGGTGACAATGGAGACACTCAGAACCTTGGGACACGGGGACACGCCATCGATGGCTTGGACCCAGAGAGGCAGACCTGGCACCCAGCTCCTGCCTCTGAATAGCTCCGGGATTCATGGAAGCACCCCGAGATGGTGCCTTCAAACCCTTCACGTTTTCCAAGGAATGAAGGACAGAGGGGAATTGTCTCAGAGCTCTGGTGAGGTGGTTTTAAACCATCAGTTCAATTATTTGGTTGTCCTTCAGCTTGAGGTGCTGCTGACCCTTTGTCCAATTTATTTGAGGTTCTGGATGATCTTCCAGAGCCAAAATTCGTGTTTTGTACCCCAACTGCTCTGCTGATGACCCCAGGGGACGTTTTTTGGGCAGATGTTGGTTAAGGTCATGGTTTAATCCAGGCCAGAGGTCAGGAAGAGGGGAATGGATGTGTTTGCTATTTCTGGGCTTTTCCTTGGTTTCAGGCTCCAAAAGCTGAGTGAATTTGGGTCCCTCCGGGGTGTTCTTGGTCCCTGCTGTGATGTCACAGGGACTTTGCTTGGAAGGGAATTTGCTCAGGTGTTCCCCAGTTTGGGATTCCTTGTGGTTTTTCCAGGGTCTTCCCAGCTGCTGGAATGGGGGACACGAGGACATTTCAGGTCTGGGGTTCAGGTGCCTTTTCCAGACCTCAAATTGGAATGGTGGGATGAATCCAAGAGTGGCAGGGGTTGGAAGGGACCTTAAAGACCCTCCAGGTCCAAGCCTTGCCATGGGCAGGAACGTGGGGATGCTGGATGGGAATTTTTTGGGATCTTAAGCCCTTCAGGAAGTCTGAAATGCGCGTTCAGGAAACGGCTGAGGGGCATTTTAACCAAACCTTTGTGAGCAGCCACAGGGCATCACCGTGGGCAGGAAAGGGTTACCAGGTCATTCCCTGCCCGTTCCAGCCATTCCTGGAAAGCCCTGGAGCTTCCAGGAGGCTGGAGAGGAATTAAGAGGGGCCAGAGAGCCGAGTCCTCTCCATCCTGTGCCGCCGATGATGCCAAACCCCTCCTCCCTCCCTGATGAGTAATTACTGCACCTGTGACTAATTAGCTGAGGTGGGAAGGACGCGGAGCTGGGCCTGTCCTGCCTTTCCTGTGGGCAGGAGAGGAAGGGCAGGCAAGAGGCTCTCGGAGGAAATTGGATTGTGCCCACTCGAGCAGCTGGAGTGGAGCTGAGCTCATTCCCGACTCCTGGAATGGCTCCGGGGGCTGCAGGGCCCTTCAGCTCCCGCGACGATCCCGCAGCCGGGCCCTTGGCCTTGCTCGTGCCCGGGCTTCGCGTTCCCGTTCCTCCGTGCCGGTTCCTCTCCCTCTCGGAGCTCCCGGCTTCTCCCGGCACGGAGGACGCGGGGCGGAGGGAGCAGCTGCAGCTCTGTAATTAGTCCAGCTGCTAACGAGCCAACGCCCCCGCTCCGGCAGCCGAGCGTGGAGAGGCCGAGCTCCTTCCAGCGCCGTTCCTCCGTGCCCAGGCCTGGCTTTTCCAGCTTCCTCCCCAGAGAAGAAAACCTCCTTGTTCTCCTCCTCCTCCTCGCAGGTGTCGGCACCAGGAATTACTACAGGAAGATCGGCTACGAGCTGGAAGGGCCCTACATGGTGAAATGGCTGGAATGATGGTCCCGGAGATCCTCATCCTGGAGGAGCAGCAGGAAGGACACGACGCTCATCCCGGGAATAAAGCCCAGGATTTGCTTCTGCCAGAGCACCAGAGTTGGACTTGATGATCCTGGTGGTCCCTCCTAATTCCATGATTTTAGGAAACAGGGCATCATCTCCTCTGGGAGGAGCATCCCTGGGACATTCCAGGTGTCTCTTCACCTGGGTTAATCCTGCTGCATCCTCGGGATGAGCTCCAGTGGTTGCATTTGAGGGATGAATTTCAGGATTCTGGGGTGTCCTGGTGGGAAAAATGCCTTTTTTCCGCTGCTGTCAGCTTTTCCTGGTTCTGCGCCAAAACGGGGCGTGTCACTCGGGACGGGAATAAATTCCGCATTTATTTATTTACACCGCCTCCGTCCATCCCCAGCAATTCCCAAATTTGATCCTTTCCCAGGATCATCTCATCCCAGTGGGAATTGGGGCTGCTCCGGCACCGCCTTCGCGTGGCCGATCCCTCCCGGGCTCAGGAGGGCAGTGCCAGTGGGGATCCAACTTTGCTGCAGCCTCCTGCTTCCCAAATTATCCCGTTCTTTTTCCCCATGGAAAAAAAAAAATAGGGGATGGGATTGAAGGTCCATGGATCCCACCCCAAACCTTCCAGGATAGGGCAGTGCCAGTGGGGATCCAACTTTGCTGCAGCCTCCTGCTTCCCAAATTATCCCGTTCTTTTTCCCCATGGAAAAAAAAAAATAGGGGATGGGATTGAAGGTCCATGGATCCCATCCCAAACCTTCCAGGACTGTGGGATCAAGGACATTCAGGATCCATCCCAAGGGATTTTTATGGAATTTGGGGATGGAAAAGGAAAGGGAGAACTTTCCTGGGGTCCAGAAGCGCCTGGATCCTGAAATTCCTTCCCAGAGAGGAGTTGGGATGGGGATGGATCCAACCCCAGGATGGGAGAGCTGGGAATGGAGGGAATTCCCTGGGAAAAGGGAGTTTGGGGTGGGATCTTGGGAAGGAATTCCCAGCTGGGAGGGTGGGGAGGCCCTGGAAAAGAATCCCAAGGAAAAGTTGGAGCACCCTGGGATCGTGGGATTGGAATGGGGTGGGATTTAGGGCCGCTGTTCACCCAAACCACCCCTGGTTTTGGGGAAGTTTTATGGAATTTTATGGAACTTGTGGATGGAAAAGGGAAGGGAGACACTTCCTGAAGTCCCAAGCCCGTCCCTCCCAGCACAGAGGGGAAGGCAGATCCTGGAGATCCTCAGGTTCTCCTCATGGATCTCCTCGGAGATGGGCTGGAATTGCCTTTCCCATCAGGAATTATCCAATTAAACCTTCCCAGCACCTCCCTCCCCCCACCCAAGGCGGGTGGGTGTCCTTTGCCCTCCCACAATTCCAGAGTTCCGGAACGTTCCCATGCTTGACCTCAATCCGGGAGCGAGCGCCCGGAGCTCCGACCTTTTCCATCTCTTTTTTATGGGATTTCAATCAAAAGCGGGGCGGAAACCCAGCGGGGACGGCGACATTTCTGAAATAAATGACTCTGTCAGGAGCCTTCGGAAGCTTTGCCGGCGGCAAGGGCTTGGACACGTGGAAAAAAACGGGAAGAGGAGGCGGAATTCCACGAGGAAGGCAAGAGACAACAAAAGAGACAACAAAAAATCCAGGGATAAAGTCGTGACGATCCAAGGAAAACTGGCGATCCTGTGGGGAGGGAAAACCCCACACGGCGAGCTTCAAACCCGCGTTAAGAGGAGGCGGAATTCCGCGAGGAAGGCAAGAGACAACAAAAGAGACAACAAAAAATCCAGGGATAAAGTCGTGACGATCCAAGGAAAACCGGCGATCCTGTGGCAAGCTTCAAACCCGCGTCGGGTTTAAATCCGGATCTCGTCAAGCCGGGATTTGTCGCGGCGGGATTTTTCCACCCCCCTGGAAAAAGTGCCACGCTCGGCGTTGGGAGGAGAAGCAATTCCTGCTGGGAACGGGTGAAATCTTCCGGAACGTTCGTCGTCCTGTCAGGGCTGACACAATCACGGACGGCGACGGCGTCGGAGCCGTGACAGCCGCGGCTTTTTCCGCCTTCCCTGGGGCAAAAACAGGGAAAATTGGATCCATTCCCTCTTTCATTCCATCTGAACCCAATCCATCCGCAGCTCCACCACCGAATAAAGCAGATTTGTCCTCTGGGGTTGTTTTTAGCTCCCCGTTTCCCGGCAGGAGCGCTCCAGGTTTGTCCGCACGGGCTCGGGGATGTTGGGAAGTGCCGTGGGTTCCTCTGGAAGGGCAGGGAAGCAGGGCTGGAAAGCACTTCTCCTTAAAAAAAATTGGGGAAAAATTCCGATTTCAAGCTCCCCTGGGGACACCCTGAGGGGTTTTCCTCATATCCTGCACAAGGAGACGCTCCAAGGGGTTTTCCAGCTGGATTTTTTTGCCAGCACTCTGGAATTTTGGGTGATTATTGAAGGTTTTTGCTCCATGAGAACAGTAATTCCGACTCTTAGGAATTTCTGTCTGTAGGAGTATCAGCCTGGAGCTGCTGACAGCCAAATTCCAGCCCCTCCTCCTCCCTTTGTGATGGAAAAAAGTTGATTTTTCACACAAAACCTCCCACAAGGCTTCAAAACATGAGGTGGTTTGGGCAGGTGAGAAATGTGGAAAAGGGAAAAAAATAAAGGAAAAGAAAATGGAAAAGGAAGAAAAAAGGGACAAGGGAAAGAAAAATGGGAAAGGAAAGGAAAGGAAAGGAAAGGAAAGGAAAGGAAAGGAAAGGAAAGGAAAGGAAAGGAAAGGATGGGAAAGGAAAATGGGAAAGGAAAATGGGAAAGGAAAATGGGAAAGGAAAATGGGAAAGGAAAATGGGAAAGGAAAAAACGAGGAAAGAAAAAAGGGAAAGGGAAAAAATGGGAAAGGAAAATGGGAAAGGAAAGGAGAAAAACAGAGAAAAAAGGGGAAGGAAAAGGGGAAGGGAAAGGGGAAGAAGGAAAATGGGCAAGGAAAAGGAAAATGGGGAAGAAAAGGAGAAAAAAGGGGAAGGGAAAGAGGAAAATGGGAATGGAAAATGGGAATGGAAAAGGAAAATCCTCTCCAGGGGTTTGTGCCCCGCTGCTTCCACCAGAGCCTGCAGCAGGGAAAACCCAAATTTCCAACCAAAGCTCCCCGTCCCCACCCTCCACACGGAATTTTGGGGAGCAGCTCCTCCCTCTCCTCTGGGAGAGCTCAGCCCCGCGGATCCTTCCCTCCAGGGAAACCAAATCCATCCGAAATCCATCCAAAATCAACCAAAAATCCATCAAAAATCCACCAAAAAACCACCAAAAATCCATGAAAATCCACCAAAAATCCATGGAAATCCATCAAAAAATCAACCAAAAATCCATTAAAATCCATCAAAAATCAACCAAAAATCCATCAGATAATCCATCAAAAATCCACCAAAAAAACACCAAAAATCTACCAAAAATCCATGGAAATCCATCCAAAAATCAACCAAAAATCCATCAAAAATCCACCAAAAATCCACCAAAAAAACCACCAAAAATCTACCAAAAATCAACCAAAAATCCATCAAAAATCCACCAAAAATCCATCAAAAATCTACCAAAAATCTACCAAAAATCCATCAAAAATCAACCAAAAATCCATCAAAAATCCACCAAAAAACCACCAAAAATCCATGAAAATCCATCAAAAATCTACCAAAAATCCATCAAAAATCTACCAAAAATCCATCAAAAATCTACCAAAAATCCATCAGAAATCCATCAAAAATCCACCAAAAATCCACCAAAAAAACCACCAAAAATCTACCAAAAATCAACCAAAAATCCATCAAAAATCCACCAAAAATCCATCAAAAATCAACCAGAAATCCAATTAACTACCAAAAAAACTCCAAGGAAACACCAAAACAACTCCAATTAAACACCAAAAAACCCTCCATTTAAACACTGAAAAATTCCAATTAAACACCAAAAAAATTTGTGATTAAACACCAAAAAAACTCCAATTAAACACAGAAATATCTCCAGTTAAATATTAAAAAACCCTCCAATTAAACACTGAAAAAACTCCAACTAAACTTCAAGGAAACACTGAAAAATTCCAATTAAACACCAAAAAAATATTCTAATTAAACATCAAAAAACCTCCAATTAAACACTATAAAAATTTCTATTCAACACCAAAAAATTCCAATTAAACACCGTAAAAATTCCGATTAAACACCAAAAAAACTCCAATCAAACCCAGAATCAAGCCCAGATTCCTTCAGCAAAGGAACAGAAACATAAAATCACCAAATTTGGGATAAAATCAGATTTTTTTTGGTGGGAGTTCCCCTCTGAGAGTGACTGTACAAATAAATAAAGTTTTGTCCGTGAAACGGGAGCGGAAAAATCTGAATTTCCCGATGGAAAAACCTCTGGATTTTCAGGTGGACAACTCTGGCACCTCCAGAACTTCCAGATCCCGCTGGAATTCCATCCCTGAGGAGGAAAAGCACCAAAAATCCAAAATAAATTGATAAATTCATATTGATAGATTAATAAAAATTTAATTTTGATTATCCCACGGAAATTTAGAGAAGAGCCCGGGGAGATTCCCTTGGGAAAAATTCCGAGTTTTATCCAATTTCTGAGGTTTAAATGCATGGGAAAAAAATCCCATTTTTAGGGTTTTTAAGCCCAGAATGGTTTGGGGGAACCAAGATTTCAATCCCACCCCATCCCAATCCCAAAATTCCAGGTGGCTCCAACTTTTCCTGGGACACTCCCAGGGATTTTCTGGGAATGCTTCCCAAATTTGAGGGTTTTTTTGGGAGATTTTTTTTTTTTTAATTCGATGTTTTCTTCAGGATTTGGGTTTTTAAGGGAAGAATTTGGAGGATTTTTTGGGATTTGAAGGTAAGGTGGACAACTCTGGCACCTCCAGAACTTCCAGATCCCGCTGGAATTCCATCCCTGAGGAGGAAAAGCACCAAAAATCCAAAATAAATTGATAAATTCATATTGATAGATTAATAAAAATTTAATTTTGATTATCCCACGGAAATTTAGAGAAGAGCCCGGGGAGATTCCCTTGGGAAAAATTCCGAGTTTTATCCAATTTCTGAGGTTTAAATGCATGGGAAAAAAATCCCATTTTTAGGGTTTTTAAGCCCAGAATGGTTTGGGGGAACCAAGATTTCAATCCCACCCCATCCCAATCCCAAAATTCCAGGTGGCTCCAACTTTTCCTGGGACACTCCCAGGGGATTTTCTGGGAATTCCTTCCCAAATTTGAGGGGTTTTTTGGGAGATTTTTTTTTTTAAATTTGATGTTTTCTTCAGGATTTGGGTTTTTTAAGGGAGGAACTTGGAGGATTTTTTGGGATTTGAAGGTCATTTTTTGGGATTTTGGGGTTTTTGGGATTTTGTGGGTTTTTGGGGGAGATTTTTTTTTGGATACCGCAGGAATTCCTTCCCAAATCCCATTTCCCCTTTCCCAGGGAATTCCCTCCATTCCCAGCTCTCCCAGGCTGGGGTTGGATCCATCCCCATCCTGAATCCTCTCTGGGAAGGAATTTCAGGAATTCCCTGGGAATTTTGGGGCTCCACTTCTCTTTTCCATCCCCAAATCCCATAAAAATCCCTGGGGATGGATCCTGAGTGTCCTGGATCCCAGAATGGTTTGGGATGGAATCCATGGAGCTTCAATCCCATCCCATCCCACCCCACAATTCTGGATTTTCCAGGTTTTCCAGGGAATTCTGGTGTTCTACAAGATGAAGAAACTCCCCTGGAATAAACACAGGGATTTTTGGAGGTGGAGGAAGCGACAAAAAAAACCCTGGAGAGGAGGAAAAGCTGGGGAAAAAAAAAAAAAATCAGATTTCCAACCCAGCCTTTTCCAAGATATCCCTGAATACCTTTCCACGGCAGAGAATTCCAGAGGGAAGCTCCAAACACTGAGAGTGTTGTAATTAAAATAATCAAATTTAGTTGATTTAAATCAATCAGTCAATTTGAGTTGTTCTCACAGGATTTGGGTGAACAGCCACCAATAATCAGGAATTTTTTCCTCCCCTTTCCAACTTCTCTTCACCCATTAAGGAAGCAAAAAATTCCTAAAACTCAGCAATACTTCTGTCAAAAATGCTGAAAACTCAACTGAACTTTTGCCAAAAATCCTTGAAACTCAACCAAACTTCCGTCAAAAATGTCTTAAAACTACTTTGGTCAAAAATCCTTAAAATTCAACCAAAATTTTGCCAAAAATCCTCAAAATTCAATCAAACATTTGACAAAAATTCTTAAAACTCGACCAAAATTTGGTCAAAAAAATCCTCAAAACTCAACCAAATTTATGCCAAAAATCCTTAAAACTCAACTAAACTTTTGCCAAAAATTCTTGAAACTCTTACAATTTTGGTCCAAAATTCTTAAAAACTCAATGAAAGTTTGGTCAAAAATTCTCAAAACTCAACCAAAGTTTGGTCAAAAATTTTAAAACTCAACCAGACTTTGGTCAAAACTCAACCCAAGTTTTATCCAAAATCCTCAAAACTCAACCAAACCTTGACCAAAATCCTTAAAACTCGACCAAACTTTGATCAAAAATCCTCAAAACTCAACCAGAGTTTGGTCAAAAATCCTTAAAACTCAAGCAAACTTTTGACAAAAATCCTTAAAACTCAACCAAACATTTGAGAAAAATGCTTAAAACTACTTTGGTCAAAAATCCTTGAAACTCAACCAAACTTTGGTCAAAAAAATCCTCAAAACTCAACCAAATTTATGCCAAAAATCCTTAAAACTTAACCAAACATTTGCCAAAAATCCTTAAAACTACTTCGGTCAAAAATCCTTAAAACTCAACCAAACATTTGAGAAAAATGCTTAAAACTACTTTGGTCAAAAATCCTTGAAACTCAACCAAACTTTGGTCAAAAATTCGTAAAAAGCAATCAAACTTTAGTCAAAAATTCTTAAAGCTCAACCAAACTTTGGTCAAAAATCCTCAAATCTTGACCAAAATTCGGTCAAAAATCCTTAAAACTCAACCAAACATTTGACAAAAATGCTTAAAACTACTTCAGTGAAAAATCCTTAAAACTCAACCAAACTTTGGTCAAAAATCCTCAAAACTCAATGAGAGTTTGGTCAAAAATTCTTAAAACTCAAGCAAACTTTGGCCAAAAATCCTTAAAACTCAACAAAACTTTGGTCAAAAATTCTTAAAATTCAACCAAACTTTTGCCAAAAATCCTTAAAACTCAACTAAACTTTAGCCAGAAATTCTCAAAACTCAACCAAAGTTTGGTCAAAAATTCTTAAAATTCAACCAAACTTTTGCCAAAAATCCTTAAAACTCAGTCAAACTTTGGCCAAAAACATCCTTAAAACTCAACCAAATTTTTGCCAAAACCTTCTCTCCTGGTTTGGGCTGGATTTTCCCAGCTGCTCCAGGTCCAGGCCTGGATGAGATTCCCAGAATCCCAGGGAGCTCGGACTCACCTCCCGCTCTAGGAGCCGGAGCGCTGGCGCTTCTTCCCGTAGGAAATCCTTTGGATCTGCACTTCCAGCTGGAAAGCATCCAGCCTTTCCCTGGGATTGGAGGCCAGCATGTGCTGCAGGAGCTGGCAGAGGTCCTCAGGCATGGATTCCTTGTTCTTCAGAGGAATCTGGAGCTTCAGGTTGGGATTTTCCAGCAGGGCTTCTCCCAGCGGGATCAGCTCCTTGCCTTGGCAGATGTAAGTTCCTGCACACGGAGATGGGTTAGGCTGGGAGAATCCACCCAAAAATCAATGATTTGGGGGGAAAAAAATTGGGAATTCTGCTGGGTTGGGGAGGGATTGAGAGTTAAACACAAAATTTGCTCAGGTGAAGAATTCCCAAGTGAAGCCCGGCCCAGTTTCTCCTCCGAGGCCGGAAATGTAAATTTTGTCAATTCCCTGGATCCAGCCGTGCCAGATACTGGAATTCCAATATGCTCCGAGTGTGGCTTTTCCCAGGAATTCCCAACCAGAACAATCCCAAATTAGGGTTTGCTGGGAGCTTGGGTTTGGAAAAGAGCTGGAAAAGAAAAAAAAAACAAAACCTCAGTTTACTCAGGATTTGTGGGCCCTCCCAGAGGATTTCCAGGAATTCAGGATGCATCCCTAAAGCACAGGGAATGCTGGTTTTGTTCCCAAATCCACGTTTTGTTTGGAAAATCCTCCTGCTACATTGATCAGAAGAATTCTGGAGAGTTTAAAGGTCAAAGGAAAAATCATTCCTGGCTTTTCTGGCCTTCCTTCCCCTAAGGAATGCTCTCCAAAAATGGATTTGATCAGAAATTGGGGGAAAAAGATCTTTTGGCTGCTGGGGAGGTGACTGGAAACGCTCTGAATGTTCCCAAATCCTCCCTGGAATTTGGCTCATGGATCTGCTGGGCTGGGGATCATCCAGAGCTCTGCAGAATTCCAAGGAGCCAGAAACCAAACTGGGAATGGGACGTGAGAGAAACCAAACTGGGAATGGGATGGGCCAGAAAACTAAACTGGGAATTGGGTATTCCAGAAACCAAACTGGGAATGGGATGTGGATATATGGAGGGGTTCTTTTTTCTTTCCCATTTCTTTTCCAATTCCAAGCAAACCCCAGTTTGGGATTGTTTTGGTTGGGAATTCCTGGAAAAGCCACACTCAGAGCATACTGGAATTCCAGAGGGCCTGGCACGGCTGGATCCAGGATTTTCCTGGCTCTTTTGGGAGCCCCTCCATCATTTCCATCACCAGGTAACTCTGAATCCCCCCCCCACCCAGCAGAACTCCCAATTTTTTAAATTTATTTTTTAGTTGGAATGATGGCTTCCAACCCAATGGAGCCGCTTGGAAGCGACCTGAAAGATCATCCAACCTCAACCACGGGCACCTTCCGCCATCCCAAACCCGTTACACACATCCTGTGAGCATTCCAGGAATTGGGAATTGACAAAATTTACTTTTCTGGCCTAAGAGGAGAAACTGGGCCGGGCTTCACTTGGGAATTCTTCACCTGAGCACATTTTCTGTTTAACTCTCAATCCCTTCCCCACCCAGCAGAACTCCCAATTTTTTAAATTTATTTTTTAATTGGAATGATGGCTTCCAACCCAACGGAGCCGCTTGGAAGCGACCTTAAAGATCATCCAACCTCAGCCACGGGCACCTCCCGCCATCCCAAACCCGTCCCACACACCCTGTGAGCATTCCAGGAATTGACAAAATTTACATTTCCGGCCTCGGAGCAGAAATTGGGCCGGGCTTCACTTGGGAATTCTTTACCTGAGCACATTTTGTGTTTAACTCTGAATCCCTCCCCTACTCAGCAGAATTCCCAATTTTCAAACATTTTTTTAGTTGGAATTATGCTGGAAATACGGCATCCAAGCCAATGGAGCATCTTGGAAGCGACCTTAAAGATCATCCAACCTCAACCACAGGCACCTCCCGCCATCCCAAATCCCGTCCCACACACCCTGTGAGCATTCCAGAGGCGAGAAACACCCGGAAAGCCCCGCGGTGGCGGGGCAGAGAGGAGCCCCAGCCGCCCCTCACCCAGCAGCTCCTTCTCGGAGTCGCCGTCGCGGAAGGTGATGCGCTCCGCCATGGCCCAGAAGATGACGCCGAGGGCGAAGACGTCGGCCTTGGCCGTGTAGTGCCCCTCCCACACCTCGGGCGCCATGTAGAAGTTGGAGCCGCAGGCCGAGGAGAGGCACAGCTGGTTCACGCTGCCCCGGCCCCCGCACACCTTGCTCAGCCCGAAATCCGCCACCTGGAATTCGGGGGGAAAGCGGGAAATGGGGATGGGCTGGGGGCGAGTCCCAGGGAGGAGATGGGGGAAGTCCTGGCGTTCTGAGTCGGGAGTGAGCTGGGGGGAATTATTGGGATTCTAAGGGATGAGGCGGGTGGAACCCTTGGGATTCTGAGTTGGGAATGAGCTGGGTGGAATTTTTGGGATCCTGAGTTGGGAATGAGCTGGGTGGAATTCTTGGGATCGTGAGTTGGGAATGAGCCAGGTGGAATTCTTGGGATCATGAGTTGGGAGTTAGCTAGGTGGAATTTTTGGCATCGTGAGTTGGGAATGATCTGAGTGGAATTCTTGGGATCATGAGTTGGGAATGAGCCAGGTGGAATTCTTGAGATCCTGAGTTGGGAGTTAGCTGGGTGGAATTCTTGGGATTCTGAGTTGGGAATGATCAGGGTGGAATTCTTGGGATCATGAGTTGGGAATGAGCCAGGTGGAATTCTTGGGATCATGAGTTGGGAATGAGCTGGGTGGAATTCTTGGGATCCTGAGTTGGGAATGAGCCAGGTGGAATTCTTGAGATCCTGAGTTGGGGGTTAGCTGGGGGGAATTCTTGGGATTCTGAGTTGGGAGTGAT